TAATGTGTTTTCGAAATTATCAGTCGCTAAGTAATTTGTTTGTTCGACGATTGTAATGAATGACAATGGAAAAATTATCGATTACTACAATTCGTATTTTAACAATGATAAATTGCTGTTTTATTAATATACAGGGATGGACCAAAAGTCAGTTAACCAGTTAAAATGGATGCTTCCGTTCAAATAGCCTACTTATTCGTATTAGATACTGGGTACAAAATAGTGCGGTTAACTGAATTTTGAGTCCACTTTAAATTTTATTAATTAAAAATTAATTATATTTTATTTTATAGAATAAAAAATAATTTTAATCCTTTATAATTTTGATTTAAAAAATATATTGGCCCGTACCGTTGTCTGTCCGTTACGTAATACATATTTTAAAGTTATTAATTCGTAAATGAATTGGAATTTGCTTTACGTTTAAATCAAATTAAATAATAAAAAATAAAAATAATAATAATAATGTAGAAAGACAAAGGAAGAGAATAAGTTTTATTACAGAGACTTAATAATCCTTTATCGTCGATTTTTTCCATTAGAAACTACAAGGCAAAATGTAAGATTGGAACTATATGAGATAGAAAAGTAGTAAGTTTTTTTTAGTTTCTTGGCACGTCCCCAGTCTAAAGGGAATCAACGTTAGAAGGGGGGTTGAAAGCTGGTCAGATTACGACCAGTCAGACAATGTTACGACAGTGGGTGTAATCCAGGAACTGGACAGAAAACTCCCATAAACTGTCCCTGGATAGGTTTCATGAAATCGCTACTTAGTATTGCTGTCTCGTCCTTACAACAGATCTAGCTTCATTTTGTTCTGCTTGGATACGAAATATGGAGAAGGTTGACGATGCAGCAAGCTTTTGATGATATCTCTGTTGAAGATAATCTTTTATTTTTTTTTTCTTTCTTTTAACTTGTCTCTTTTATAAATGGAGAAAATGCACGCGTGATTTATAGAGTATGTCTCTCGATTTTTGCTTGGTTAAATTTTTAAAATGTACGAACAACTGTTGAATTTTTTTTTATTGTTATATATATATATATATATATATACATATATATTTCGATACCTTTTTAATACATAATTGCTTCTTATTTGTGCATTCATTTTAATTCTGTGAAAATCTTTTGGTTGTCCATTTATTAATTAAACAACTGGCCAATGTAAAGTTTTACCAAATCTCCACTTAACATATACCATAATGTAACAAGTCCCATCACCACATGTCCCAACAGCAACATGCTGCAAGATTAAAGACAGACCCCTCATAAATCTTCATTATAGTAGCGCCTCCCTATAATTCTGCAACCCCAAAAATACTGCCAGCTCAGCACTTATTTAAATAGACTGCTTTACCATCCCATGCTCTATTAACAGGAGTCCCACTAATGTAAAAAAATAGGGGAGAAAATTGAGAATGTGAGAGCATGTTCTCTTAAGCAAACTGCTCCCTTATGTAATACTCCACATTAAGTATGCAAAAACAGTAGCATAAATTAATTAGGGAGAAGACTACTAAAACATTTGTTAGAATTCTGTCTAAATATAGCCTAAAACTCTGTTATGTATGTTTCGGATCTGAAAGTCTAAAATATCTCATAAAAAGAACTGATACGAAAATAATGTAAAGTGATGCAAACTGTATTTGTTAATATAAAAATAGGTAGAAGTTTACTATGGTAGCACCAATGGCCGCTTCCTCCCGACGGACTCCTCCCGGAGGGGAGCCGCCAGCTGGCCGTCGATTGTTTAACGTCAGGAGTTATTAATTCACTGTAGTTCTTGAAAGCTTTTACCCATTTTTCGTGTGTTCAAGAACTACCGTGAATCAATAATTAGTGACGTTAAACAATCGGCGGCCATTGGGTCTACAATAGTACACTTTTACCATAAAGTAAGTTGCACGTTTTAAAAGTCACTTATTACAACTTAAAATTATGAGTTTTGATTTATTTTAAAATTCATTCCGATAAATTACACGATTTATTACGCGTCAAAAAATATTAAAATCAAAATATCATAATTCTTACGCTATAGAAAACTTCACTGAAAAATGCAAATAAAAAAAATATATGTGCGCGTGTGTTACACGAAATAAACGTTGCACATTTTTGTATTCAAAACCACATGTAATATTACAACAGCGCCACAGAGCGGCCGGCTAGATCTTGCCCCTCGACAAAAACGCTGATTGGTTATTGAATTGAATCCCAACTGTGGCGACTTTTAGAAGAACGTAGCGACGTAGCGGCGACTGCAGACAAATCAGCTAAAACTAGAGACTTTTCAAATTTTTTAATTTATTTTTTGAGAAATTTAAATTGACAGATTTTTCTCTACTTTATAGCGCCCTCTGGCGACGACTAATATTCGTCGGTCCTCTATTTCAAATAAGAGACGCAAACATTGACAAACAGTCGTCGGAAGGCGAAAGCGACTCCGATTGAGGTGTTTTAAAACCTATTATTTTTTCGTTTTTCCATTTTTGTTATATATGCATTATAATTACATATTGTTCATGCTGTTAACAATTCAATTATTTTTGTTAATTGTTTTTGAATACAACTATTACAGAGGGTGCTGCCGAAGTTTTCATCTCTAAAACGTGAACGTCGAACGTCAAGCGCCGCTTACAAGATAGTGGCGCTCGACGTTCGACGTTAACGTTTTAGAGATGAAATTTCGGCCGCAATCTCTCTATTATGTGCACAACTTTTCTTATATTGTATCAATAAACTTGTTTTGTAATAAAGCCTTTCGACGATTTGAAAATTTGTTGTTTATTGAGTAGCGACAAAGTAGCGACTTTTCAAAATATCTGTGGCGAAATCAGCGACTTTTATTTTAAAATGTAGCGANTAAGTCAACTCCTGTTAAATTTGGGATGAAGTTTTCCTCGGGATCATAACTATTTTCTAGAAATAATCCGGAATTTTCGTGAAAGTCAATCTGTTACCATCTTTCTAAACAATGTGATAGGAAAGGATCCATTGTAAAAAGTGCACTATCCATTAACACGCTTATCGGTAGACTAAAAAAAAGCATCACGCAAGTTGGGGGAAGTTCCATTGATGTCTTTTTATCAACTAATAACACAACCCTGAGTAATTTCCTACTGGGAATCAAATCCCCAGCATACGCACATCCACGTATTATATACTACTAGGCCTATATGCATATAGGGATAAATATTCACTGACCTGTAACACGACTATGGTCTATTTGCCACGACCGCAAGTTACCAATGGCACATAGCCACGTCATCATCTACCATCTGGTAGCGATCCGGAGACACAAGGGACGGGGATGACTGGTGTTTGATTTAATTACAGACACCCAACGATAGTAGGGCCTTTCCGGGACAAGAGGCCTGAGAGCGTGAATAATAGCTTGACTGATTTCATAATATCCCTTAGCATTCTTGTTCGGCGTTGCTCCTAGCCCAAGCGGGGAAGACACCATAATTATAAGGCAAACACCAACCCACCCTACATTGTCTACACCACCCTCCGGTGTCTGGCAGACACTTGTCAAGACCACGTGGTACGGGGTCACGTGGTCATTTTTCCCAACATAGAAAATGGTCGTAATAATTATAATCTTATACCCCGTCATAAAGTTTTGAAAATAACGCATGATGATAGTGGATGAAGAGCATAATGGGCCCGGTCTAATTATCTGGCATGAAGTTCAGGGGTCGAGGTACACGATATGTCAACCCCGTTGCATATAATGGAGGCTGGTGAAGATATAATCTGAGAAGAAACTCCCCGCGCGGCAAAAAATAAAAATAAAAATAAGAACATTTTAAACACATACAAAAAATACTTTCACTTTTAAAATATATATTGTGTGTTAAGTGTCGCCATCTATTAACTATAAATATAAACACAAATTTATTCCAGGAGATATAATAATAAAATATTAATATCCTCTACTGGAAAAAAGAAAAAGTATAAGAAGAAAAGAAAAAATCGAATAAAAATTCATACAAGATATAGCCTAGGAATTCAAAATTAAAATTTAAATCGGTTTTCCTTTGGAGAAAAACGGTTATGCCGTCCTTCCCAACGGCGCTTTTACAACCAGCAATAAAAATCTCCTCGGGTGTGGGGGTAGGAAGCACTTCCTGCTGTTTTATATCATGACTACAATAACAAAACGCGTTGCTACACGTGCCACACCTCGAATTTTAAATGTTGCACAAATGGAAATATATCTATATATATTTGTGTATGTGTGTGTGTGTACGTATGTATATGTATAAACGTATGTATTTAAGTGGAGTTTGTGTTGCGTATATGCATATGTATTTAAAATATTTATCATGGTTACAAGCTGATAGTCGGTGGTACAAATTAACACCTAAATAATTAGAACAGGTGGTGTTGTGCCACAATCAGTAGGGGTAACAAATATCCAACATCTTGTCAGCAGTCTCGGAGCTGTGCAGTGGCATAATTAATTCAACCCTAATGACTAGGCACATGTGGAGAGTAATTTCTCTCCAATTTGGCACTCTTCATTACACACACTACGCAAATGACCCTCCGTTAATTACTCTGATTGTCCTTTGTTTATTTAAATTAGATTTAAATTTTGCAGGGGCGTACGTAATTTGATAGCAGCTTGTGACGTCACTGTGGGTACAGGAGAGAAAATAAAACATTGTTTTAGTTGATTCGAAGGCAAAGTTGCCACTGGCAGACTCCCTTGGAAACAGATTTCCTGCCTAATGTTCTACTCTGACCTGTTATATTTACACTGCACGCTCAAGTGGACATAAAAAGAACCTTGTGCACACTCGCGATAATAGTAGTTGTTCGTGCTGACAAAACTGGGGGGTGGAGATTCGCGTCACGTGCGATTGACTGACAGCTGTCACAAGCAGCCATAGGTCGATTACCGTATGGGCGTGATCGTTTACAGGCGTCAGTTACCGAGAGCAGGCGATTGGTCGTCTTTAGTGCAAGCGCAGTACCACCCACGACACACCATACCACGTGGTACGAAGCAGTAGAAGATTGGAGAAGGTTCTGTGTGTATGTGTGTCTGTGTTTGTTGATAACGCCAATCATTGCGGGTGCCATATTTGAGGAGTAGGGGTTTGTGTGCTCACATCGCCTCCTGCTACGTTGACGGGGTACCTTTTTGTAGACCTACGGGTCCCCTCCGCATCGTGTGTGGTATCGGTATCAAGTCTGTACCGCCAGCTGGGACGGACTGGGCAGCCATTACCGTTCGAGAAGTTGTGCTCTCCTGTTTACGCTATGGGTTATCTTCAAGATGCTGTACTGAGGTGAGATGCGATGAACGCAAGACTACAGCCCCATGTGTGTCGATAACAGTGTGTGTTGTCTAAAAGGTGGCCGTATTGATTGTTTTGGTGACCAGTGTGGCTAGTGATATCCTGCGAGATCCCTTACGACATTGTGCTGTCCTTTGGCTTGACATACCCGGCCAAGGATGTATCCCAACCGTCATCCGGTAAGTCTGAACATGGCAACCGTCCCTTAAATGCCTATCCGCCTAGTTTATTTTTTCTATCTTTCTTTTTTTCACTAACTCAACTACTCCGGCTATTTTTAAACTTTTTTTAAAACTCTAATTATATTTAATTTCATTTAATTTAATCGAAATCTACTTTTAACTTAGTGCCACTTAACATTATTAAACCTCTTAACCGGGATAAACAAAGAAATATTTATTCGCTTCGTTAATTGCCAAGTTGTCTAAGGATAGTTTTCACCTCTTTCATACTATATTCAAATGGAATCGTTTAAAACACCCAAACCCCCTCTTACATTTAAGCCACGATACGTTACTCTATTGATAGATTAAAAAGCAATGTGTCGTATGATAGTTGGGGGATGATTATTGGATACGTTTCACAATATCCAGGCGCATGAATTAATTCGCACGGCGGAGTTCGTTATCTGATGTATCAATCACCTTAAGTGTCAATAAGTGGTTAGCATTAAGTCATTGCTTTATATATGTATGTATGTATATATATATTAAAATACCACTTATATCTAAATCCAGATATATCTGGAGAGTATCCATTGACATACGACCATTTCCCCCTTTAAGTGGTCGGTCTGCTTGTGTCTGGAAGCCACATACATTGCGATATTTCATGACAACAGCTCGTGTGTCAATATTTACGTAAGAGTACCATGTTTAGATGGAGAACGAAAGTATACCTTGGATTACTATAACGCTTTAGGAGTTAAGAAAGTTTTTTTTCCTCCTCCTTTCTTTCTTTCTTCTAACGTTAACTCTCACTACTTTACTCCCTTTGTAAAATCCGATGGGAATGGTAGAAAAGATATCAGCAGCGTTAATGAGCTACGTATAACGTGTTCGACGTTAATGTTTGTTCTACCGAAGTGCACTAATGATGTTAACATAGTTGACCGTTGTTTGTATTAGAAGCTTGCTATTTGCCACGGAACAGCGCCTAAACGTTTACTAGTCTCAAAAGTCTGATTGACTTGAATGAAATCGTCTTGCATTTCATTCTTGATAAGCTGCACTTAAAAATTTCAAAATAATAATAATGATAATAAATAAAATAAAAACGACAAACGTTACACAAATGAAAATGAATTCAAAATAAATTAACACAGCTCTTACGTCACTGCATTTTTATAAAAAGGAAATTGAAACGTTTAAAATATTAAAAAAAATTGACGTAATTAACATTTTTCGAAATGAACACCAATCAAAATAGTTTTGTTAAACAATTAAACGAAATTGACATTTTAATAAAATGACAATTTGCTTTTTTTAAAAAAGGTTAATGAAATAGAAAATTTTTTTTATTTTTAAAAGGAAATAAACAGAAATGAAAGCGACATATTTAATTTAAAAATTCAAAACAAAATTGTTTTTTTTTTACATTTTATATAAAATTTACAGGATTAAAATATATTTCAGAGTGCCGTGAAAATTTTATTAATAAAATAAATTTTTTTTTACAAACTTGATCAAAATAATGTTATTTCGTATTTTAATTTTATTTAGTAGATACATACATCAGGATAACTTTTTTAATTTTATTTTATTATATAGATATATATAATGGTTCTAAACATAATTAATTTCTTATTTCTGTAGTAAATTTACTTACGTATTTTTTTTTATTTTTTTTGAAAGAATTATATAGTAGCGTAATCCAATTTGTGAACAGGTTATAATACATCTGACAATATATAATATAAGGAAATTTTTCGTAGAGAATATAAAAAAAATTACTTTACAGTTAATAAAAATTGAATAGTATCTTCACTACATTTTATTAAAATATATTATTTTATAACGCCAAAATTTTAAAATTCATTAATCTTATTAACTTCAATAGAAATGATTTCATTGAATTTATTCGATAAAGGATCGATTACGCCATGTCATTGTATCGATTTCGCAACAGATTAAATTTAACACGTATATAAGATAATCGATTTGAGAAGTTTATAGTTAATAAATTATTTCTTAACCCCGAGATAAACGCATACCTTCCTCAGTTAGTCACGAAATTCACTATTTATTACGTAATAAACAAATTATTTTAAGGGATTTACATATACAGTATNTGGGAAGATTTTTAATTTTTTTCTAGAAAATAATTATAAATATATTAAATGCAATATTTTATATTAATTTTATTATCTCCAGAATTTTTTTCAAGACTTATAAAATGCTAAAATCTTTATTATTGAATATAGATTTAAAGAATATCGATTATTATTATTATTATTATCTTTTCAATATAAATTCTAGTATTTTTTAGCCAGATTTTATATTCAGAAAGCCCTGAAAGAGATTGAAAGGATTTCAATTCGTATATTTGAAATATAATAAAAGAAATGAAGTATAGATGCTTCTTGAAGCGAAAACAATATCTTTACTAGTAAATATACAGCAGAGGTTTAAATTTTATTTTTTTAAACCAAAATATAAATAGATAAAAATGGATCGAAATCTGAGAACTTATTCGATTAAAATCGTCGAAAATAAGTGGTTAATAAAAATTTCAAACCCACAAAAATCTCATTTTATAAAGAAAACCGCAAAATTAGTCATGAAAATTAGCATTTTATGAAGGGGGAAGAATAGAAAATATATTTATGTATGTATGTATATAAATCTACATCAATTAACAAACAACCGTGAAGCGCACATATTTAAAGAAACGTCAATGAAATCTATCCATTCTGGGCAGTCATTTATTTTCACATCCCAATAATTTAGTCTATTATCATCGTCATTGGAGTGATAAAAGCGTGACGAACATTGCATGAAAAAACAGGAATATAATGGAAAAAAAAGAAACTAAGAGGGGATCTCCATTGAATACCATAAACTAAAAGACATTTATCAATAGAGTAACTCTGGAGAAAACTAAAAGTAACATCTTAAACAACAAATAAAATTACCAAAATGTAGGTTAATGGTTACTGAACAATTAGTGTTTAAAGTCGTGCCAATGGGAAGTCATAAACATTCGCTAACTCAGTGGCGCCTTACAAGGAAACCTTTCTCGACCTAAATACTAATTTATCATTTTTAATTTATATAAATCACATTGATAACTTATAATAATCAGCGTGTAGAGAGGGAGAAGAACTAGCACAATAACTCTACTCCCTTCTCTATTTAAAATCAGCGGGGAGTTAGAATAAGGAGTTAAACCGCACCCTGTTTTACTTTAGGGAATATCCCTTTTCTCCCCAACAATCTGGAATGAAGTAGCAGCTGTCTAGTCCCTAGACAGAAATCAATGAAGAGAAGTTCGAAACAATGAAGGAAGGTCTAAGTAGAAAGACAGGCCCCCTTTTTTTTTTTATCTTTCCACAGCAGCTCTGTAGGATCTTGTCTTCTAAGGGATTTAGGCCCCTCACCCACCTACTGCGATAAGGAGCATCTGCTTCATTTTAGAAAAAGTATGAAGTACAGGCTCTAGAAAATAAATTCTTAAATCCTGAGAGATCTATAGAATTCATTTCTGAGTTATAAATAGAATTTAAAGATTGTAAAGCTATATAAAGAAGGGCAGAAGTTAAAATTACAAAATATATATATTTTTTCTCCTGTATTTAGAAACAATATACCATGAAAATTTTACTTTAGAAACATTACAATTTAATTTAAAATCGTATCAAACACAAATTCACTCTATCAAATTGTATAAATGAGCATTCACAACTAAATAATTAGGCCTATAACTAATTATGGCTTTATACAATTTAATGTAATTAAATTTTATATTTAAGCATATATGAGCACATTTATACGGTCGAACATTTTATTTTACTAAAATTATAAACATGATATAAACTCCCAGTTGCTAGATTTCATAGAATATTTCACCAAAACGCTAATATCATTACGTTATCAGTCTGGTAATTCTATTAAATAATTACCATTGAGATACAGTTAAACGCATTGTCCAATAGTATGTCATTTGGTATAATTACACATATTTGTCGACTTGATTTGAATGTACATTCTCTGGAGCGAGGAATTTATGCCCAGTTAAGCGATCTTGTTTGAGTTACGAGAAGGAACATCGCCTGATGGAAATCATTGGGCTGTGCACTTGTATTATATTCTCTATGGCAAAGCGTGCAGTTGGCAACAGCTGAATTTGCAACTGTTATAGATAAAGTTTAAAAGGATGAAACGGGAGAAATTTTTTTTTACTTCTTCTTCTTTTGTTAGAGCGGACTTGTTTGTATAAATTTCAGGAAGTTTGAGACACGTCACGCCATTCAATGCTTTGTACTTTATATAGATATATATAGAACGAAAAAATTTCTGGCTAAGTTTCCATCTTATCAATTAATGTTTGAATGTCAAAAGCTGTTATATCAACCAACTGAATAATTTGTCACATATTCATTCAAAACACCCCCTACACCCCTACATTTTCCATCTAAAATGAGTTAGATTAATGATTTTTAACGATAATATTTTAAAAGGAAATTTTATACACACATATATATATGTATATATTAATCATAATTATAATCTTAATGTAAAATTATAAACTAGAATTTTTCTTTTAACTTATTTTATTTAAATTTTATTTTCTTCTTGACTTTTATTTTATATTATAAAATAAATTTATTTTTAAAATGTTTCTACAATTTTTTAACATCACTATCATTTCAAAAATTTTCTTTTTTTTTGTTTTTTTATTATTTTTTCCTCTCCTTACGACAAGGGTGATGCCTTAATTTCGTTTCATGGTAATGCATTGGGAACTGCCCTAGCATTGCTAGGATCTAAAGAGGTATTGTTATTCTTCCATTCACTAACAATTCTTATATAAGGTATTCCCTATACTTAAATAAATCACTTTCTATATACTTATATATGTATATATATATTCTGTATATATATAGACACCCAACGATANGAGAAGCTTTTAGATAAAGTTATCTCATCACTTTATTATGATAAAATAATCTAATATATATATATATATATATATATATATTATATAAATACATACAAGACAATTTATCTAAATGTTCTGTAATCTTTGTTTTTCTTTAATAAACGGACTTTGTCTTCCCGTTTTTTACTTCTCTCTTTCTTTCATTTTTTTCCTCTATTTTTCATTCTTTGTTTCTTTTTTTTAAATGTTTATTACATAATAATAACGTTTAAAGCATTTTAATTGTTATTAATTTGTGGATTTCTCAATTAACATCTGTTTTCAATTTCTGATTATATTTAAAAACGCATTAGTTCTATCGCTGTTATCTTTTTTACTTTTTATTTGTTTTTATTATTATTTTTTTAATATTTAGATTTCAAGAAACAGATTAATTGTTTTGTAACACACATTTTTATTTATTTATTTAATATATTTTTTTACTGATACCTTAAACTACATTAAATCAATTAAGCGCTTGTGTAATATAAGACCAAAAAAACCCCCTTTATAATTAATTTAATTTAATCTAAAAACAATTATGTTTATTTATTTAAAGTTACATTATTGCTAAACGTCATTAAAAGTTTAAAAATCAACGTATATTCTAAGTATATAATCGCTCTTATCAATTTTATTACTCTATATATAAATCTACAGTTTATAAACATAGGACACTACATTTAAAAGTAATATTTATCGATATATTTCTATTTTATTTCCATCATTGTAATAATAATTTTCACAGTCGGGATGTGACGTAACATCACTACAGATGACAGGATGTGACAGTATGTTTAGTACGCTCCACTGAAATATTAGCTTAAGTGTAGAGAGAAAAGTAGGGGGAACGAGTAAGACTTAACATAATACATCTGCTAGTAAGATAAGAAATTTATTTATAAGTAGACGATAAACATCTGCACTAGTCTTAGAGTTATTTATACACACTTGTATTACCCATCTAGACAAAAATCCAAGTTTATTTAAGATATAAAAGTTTTTTTTTTTAAATTTAATTAAGCTACATACGTTATATGCTTTAATAACGCGATTTTTAAAAGTATTTTTTCCCCTTATCTCCTTTCACTCGAGCCTTATAAGGCCTTGAGGGTCGCATGGCTTCACTCTTGTATTCTTTTTCCTTCTCTTTTCTCTCCCTCTCCTCCCCTTATTCCACCATTACAAGAGCTTTAGACGTGGTCTGCCTTGTCTCTGAATCGTCAATCTGTTCTCCCATATGATCAGTTCTCCCTTCTTTCCGGTAGGGTCCACCGCCTCAAGCAGGACAACCATTCAAGTTTACAGTTTCAGAAACGTGCGATCGTATCAAAGAAGAATTTAGTTTCCTACAAGCTCAATATCACAGGTTAGTATTGTGTTGAATTTCATATCGCATTGATATGTTGATTTAATTTAATTCTTTTTATTCAAAAGAAAAAAAAAAGCAAAATATATTAATTTCAATAAAATAAACTGAAACTGATTAAATTAACCGTCCGTTTTATTGTCATTAAAAGAAACTGATTGTTTTTAATCGCGTTTAAAGAAACTGATTATTTTTAATTTTGTTTAAAGAAACTGATTACTTTTAATTGTATTTAAAGAAAATGATCGACTAGTAACCGACATTCTTAATTAACATTTAAATTTAATTGTTATTAAAAACCGATAACTCCATTAATGCGTAATACAAAAAAGTTTTTACCGAGATACTGAAAAAGCCGATCGAACAATTGTACAAATTTGTATGTAGACTATTACTATAGTATTCATCTTATTATATCATTTTCCCAATGCACTTATTGGGCTTACAATTTTATAGATATAGAAAGACTATGTATTACATACTGTTCAGAGTGTATCAAGGGACAGTTCTTATGTACAAAAAAGAGACAGTAAAAAGTAAACATATGTCACCTCCAGGTCCGGATGGATATCCAGTCTGTATCGATTATCTACATCGAGACGCGCATAGTAAATATTTGCCCTATTTTACCGGTTTTCTTGGCATGGGTTACCGCTTTACCGGCACTCCACTTCCTGCCCCAAGTTTGTCACATGATCGACGAAACTACATCCGCTAGATTGGCAGCAGCTGTAGATAAGTAAAGAAAACGGTTTTTTAAGGCGATAAATGATAGGTTCTTTGCCAACTGTACTTTCGAGAATATATTTAAATATAAATATAAGCGACATAAAATGTAATATTTGCAAGAAATGATATTTAAAGAGAAAAAATCGTTACGTGTACATTTCTTCTCCTCTTTCCCCCCCTTTTTTAATTATATCTTATCGTTTAATGTTCCTATCAATTATGTAAAAAATATATATATAAATATCAAAAATAAATTTTCTAGTTAAACCGAAAGCGGTTATCCTATTTATCTATCCTGTTACATCAGAGGAGGCATTTTGTGAGGGGGAAGACAGTTTCTGTAGCTTCTCGTTCACTTTCCCAATTCAGAAATCCTCCCATATACTATAGAAGGCCAGTTTTCATCTCTCAAATGGACCTCAAATATATAAAATATAAATTTTAGTCAATCGCCGTAACATACTTCCATATCCGAAACGATTACATACATTTGAATATATATATATATATATATAAAGTAATTTCCAATTTCGGTTACTGACTTTTAACTAATAGGCCTACAGTATTTTTAATGATACCGAGTAGAATTTACAGTTTTCGGCCTGTATTTATAATTTCTAGTGCAAGTTTACACACTTACTTAGTAGATTTTAACACGTGGCTAATTAGAAATTTTTGCTTTGCAATTTACAAGTTTTACGCGCACGTGTTGTGTTGTTTACAGTTTTTATACGAATATAATTGACAGTTTTTAGAGCACGTGTGCGAAATTTACAAATTTTTAATTAACGTGTTACGTAATTTACAGATTTTTATGCTCACTCGATTAACAATTTTTAGCGCACGTGGGTGTAATTTACAAATTTTAAACGTACGTGTTTATGTAATTTACAATTTTTTAGCTCATGTAATTAACAGTTTTTGATACACATGCGTGTAATTTACAAATTTTGCGCACACGTTATGTAATTTATAGTTTTTAATACGGGTGTAAGTGCGCGCTTGCGTGTAATTTACAGCACTTTAGTGCGCATAAAATCTACAATTTTTAAGCTATAATTTACACTTTTAAAGGAGTAATTTACCACTTTGTTTGCATGATACGTTCGCATTTTTTGTTTATATTTTTTCCCTTATTTCTTATTTCTTTCAGTGCGCGTATAATTTACAATTTTAAAAGCAAGTAATGTACAATTTTTCGCGTGTACAATTTCAAGTTGGCAAGTAATCTGAAAGCATAATTAGTGCCAAATAAAATTATCCATAAAGTTAACTGATTGTAGGTACTTATAGAATAACGTCAAAGTTTATAGTCCTAATACATTTTATGTAATTAAGAAAAGGGTAGGTTAAAATTAAAGAATTTCCAGATAGTTTCGGCTCTTTTATAAAATAATGTTTCGCTATATTAAACTCACTCGCGATAATTTACCGCAAAATCGTTTTATTCGAGAGTGTGTCACTGGAGAGATTATCACAATTGACACACGACATGAGAATCATTCTGTCCTCTCCACTCACTATAATTATCTTCAGAGTGTTGTCATATCTACTTGCAGGTCGGCTTATACTTCCAATTTAGTAAAGAAACCCATCTCTGATACATCACTACGTCTGAAAGTTAATCACTGTTGTTTGGTTTAACTAAAGAATTAATGGAGTTCTATCGTATTAAATTTAAAGTAGACATAGTTATAATTTAAAAGAGTTATATATATATATATCCTGTTATACGTATTTGTAAAATATTTACGGTATTATCCTTTACACATTTAAACAATTTTATAACTAAACTAACCATTTTTAAATATTAAACACCAACTTTGTGTTTAAAGGGTGTTTGCTTTATATAATTAAAGAAGTAAATGGCTCAAAGAAGTAAACGTAGTAAAAATGAATCCATCTACGGAATTACTTAATTAAAAATAATGTGTATTACTGTGGGAATTTATATATTTGGTGTACAGGAATTAAAAATTAATTAAAAGGAAACGCGTTAAGTTGTGAATAGCATTAAAACACTCGCGGGTATTCAAAATTTAATTATACTTATTATTAATACAAACTTACCCATAGTTAAGAGCTGATATAACTCTCTAACTGAAAACTACTCTAAACTTAATTCTAATTAGTTAAGAGTCCGAATGATTAATTTTAAATGTTAAGTAACCGTTAAGTCGATGCGTTAAATGCGCCTTTACCGTAACGATGAGCTACCAGATGTTCGCGTCACGTGACACCTCCTGTTAGTCCTCTTGACATCCGACACCTTGTGACTAATTATACCCATCCCTACTTTTCTCCTATCTAGTTTGAAACTGGAATGCGAGAAGTTAGCAACAGAGAAAACCGAAATGCAACGGCATTACGTGATGGTGAGTAACGTATAATTTGTTAATTTCTTTTTATTTCCTCCCCCCCTTTTTTTAATCAGAAATAAATAGATAAATAAACATATATGTATTTTTTTCAATTTCTAGTATTATGAAATGTCTTACGGATTAAACGTGGAGATGCATAAACAAGTAAGTTGTGTTTTATTGTTAGTTACTGTGTCCTAATTGTTAATTGTTACGCGGGAATTTTTTAAGAATTTATTTTTGGAAGAGCGTGTAGAGTTATATAAACTCTTCACAGATTAACAGTAATTAAGCTCAGTCGGAATTATTGTAGCAGCTTCTCTAGTTAAACTGTCCAAGTAGGAGAACAGATGTGTGTTTGTAGTCAGGATGGTATACTATGTTCTATTTCCGATGTGCTAAGTATAGACAAGAGTTGACACCCAACTTCTGCACTTTGTCATGCCACTCAAAAACTGTGACGTAACAAGAGCGTGTTTTATTTGCTGAAGGAGGTAATATATCTCCACTTCAAGTTTGATACTTAAAGCCAATTTTTCCCTTACTTAATTTTACACATTGTCCTCCCCCGTATTTTACTTGTTTAGACTTATACAACCACAAAAAAAAGAGGAGGAGAAAAAACCAGAAAAAGGCTTTTTTTAAAACTTTATATAACTAACTTTTCTGGCTTAAAGAGAGTTTAATTTGCTATATTCCTAAAAAGGAAATTAAAGTTTATTTAAAAGAGGGTGGAAGAAGATGAGAAGGAAGTTTCCTTCTCTATCTTTCTGTAATGTATGCTTGAGTAAGGGAAATTTCCTCTTCCGTTTAATGTAATATAAATCCGTGTAAAGAAAGATTCATCCGTCCTCCATGTAAAGTAAAAATGTTAAATAATAGAGAAAATAGTAAGGAAATTTTCGATAAGAATTAGATAATTTCTTTACGCAAACATTAGAGAAACGCCACGGATAAATAGATCCCTAATACTTAATTTTTCTTAGCTGTTAGGGGAATCATTGAGGGAAACTTCCCTAATATTTTCTTGAATTATTTTGTGTGTACACATTAGAAAAAATTTCTTAATGTGTATATAAAAGAATTAATTTAAGGATAGCGTTCTAATTCTTAAAATATGATGTAGGTTCGTTTAAGAGAAATTTTCATAACGTTTTCCTTGTAAAAATATGCACGTTTCCTTCCTATTTAAAATATAATATAAAAGGTAAATTTTAAATCCGTTCTCGAAGCTTAGAACACGAAATAAATCTTCACTCTTCCCTTCAGTATAAAATATTTAAAGAAAATTCCCTCCCAACTATGATGTAGAATATTTAAGGGATGTTTCTCCCTCACGATGTGAAATATTTAAATGGAATTTCCCTTTCCTTCCCGGTGTACAATTTCCCTTCCTTCGTGATGTAGAATGAGGAAAATTCCATTCTCCTCCAATAGGAGGATTTATAACTGTGCCAACTGCTTCGACCCCATATTTTATCGAAATTGAAATTTGCAGATTGTTGCTCCCTCCTATTGTTGACTCTTCTTTTTTTTCATACCCTACGGTATTATTTTACACCAGGACGTATTGTTTTCATTGTAAATAAGACAGTGTTGTAGTTTTGCATTGTACACGAGCGAAACAAAGTCCCTGTTGACATTATTAGCCGAAGTATTTATCTTTCCCTCCCCATATACACAACGATGTAATTTCTCTGTCAATACAGACACACTTGGCTTTTCATATCGTCTGTGTAAATAAGCATTGTTGACATTGTTGGCTGGGCTTTGTACACTGCCAACAGTGTTATCAACTATTCTGTACTGACAGAATGGAACCGTAAAGAAGTAAATACTTCTAATGGAAAGGGATATTTCTCACAAAAATCGATAGAACAATATTTAACGCATAAAACGAAAATTTCGTGTTGTATAACAACTGAGCGTTAGTTATGTCTTGTTATTATTTCACGTATGTTAATGTAAAAATGGCGTGATTTGCATAGGATCGATTAATTTTCAAAGGGGAAGGCAGTTGATATACTGATGGATTATCGTCTATCGATACTTCAGATTATATAAAATTAATTATCCACCATTATAATTGATTAAAAAAAAAAGAAAGAGGAGAAAAGGGAGGACATGCAAACGATAACAATAATAATACAATCTGCAATACACCATTTATAATTAGTCGAGACATAATTAAAACATAATTGCTCATTGTAACCCGAACGAAAAGAATAAAGTATACGTTAATGTTAAAATAAATGCCATTTTAATTACCACAAACAAAAACAAAAAAAAAGTTGAGGGAAGTCAAGCCAAAACAACATGAAAACGCTGGCAGCAACAGCAGCATCTTTTCTTAAACTTATAATTATCGTTCGTTGGTTGGGTTAGAGAAGGGAGAAAGACAGAGCAGGAGCTGTCTTGCAAGAGTCTGTGCTGTCCCGTAATACCTTCTTTCATTGTTCCTTTCGCTACTTATCGACACAACACCGATCGATTGTGGCGCCTAGGGGGTCAGAGACCGGGAACTGGGGTTCCATTAGCAAGCGGTCGGTGAAAAGAACCAGCGGGGACTTGCTTCCTAATCTAATATACAAGCTTTACCAATGGTAAAGGCGAAGCGACGGAAGAGGAAGCGAGCGAAGAAGAAGAAGAAGAAAGAAAAAAATCACCTTTCGGGTGTTAAATTAGAAAATAATTAATGGGCGCAACAATTAAATCTACCAGACAATTAAAGTTGTGTTAATTGTTTGTTTCCACCTCCAGTCTGTAATATCTCATTAAATCTTGTATTCTTTTTCATCGTCCTTCAAGGCGCTCAATTAAGCTAGTTAATATAGAAACCAAATTCACTTTATGCGGAGTAAAAGCCGATTTCTTGACCCCTACTCGAATAAGAGGAGGCGGAGTACTTAGCAATGTTGCTAATTTTTATCACTGCCTTTGGCAAAGCAGCTGAGCACATCTAGCATTGCGTGGACAAGTGGTAGAATAACTACGGTTGAAGTACTCCTTCAAGCTTCTATTCCCTTTACTGGGCAGATGAAGTGTGCCACTTGTGACCCCCATCCTCTTTTGCCCCACATAAGGGTGTATTCTGTGCAGGAGCTGTCTACACCACCACTCAAAGTGGTGCTGTTACCATGGCCACAAGCATCCACTCCACCTTAGGTTGTACTAGAAGCTGGAAATGCTCAACTTCGTTCTATCTGAAGTATTATATCTTTCACTTTCTTTACTACCCTCCTGGCCTTTGTCATACCCGTATTCATCTTATTTCCCCCATTGAAAATTCACAAGAAATTTTTTTTCGCCCTTACTATTTACTTTTATCAGTTTGAAATTATTTAATTTTTCTTTAATTAAAATTTAATTTATATTATTTTCTTTTGTACAAAAATCTCTTCATTGTCTTGCCATTCAACACGTAAATNTGTTTTCAACTACGTTTAGTCTTCATCGAGTACTTAGGTGTATTAAATTGATCACATTTCAGACATTGTTTAAATATTTTTATATATTTCAATTTTAAAAATGTTCGAACTGTTTTAAATTCGAATTTGTTATTGCGTATTGGTTCGATTATAGAACGATTGTAAACGTTTCAGAAAATTGATCAAATTGAAAATAGTTCGTTTGATTCTCGGCAATTCTCATCATTCTCAGCGATAAAACTTGGAGACAATTACTATGGTTATTGAAATATTGGATGTAAATGGGGTTTGCTTGCAAAACCTCCGCTGACAAAGTCGCGGGTAACAGCTAGTCAGAGCATAATTAAACACAAATACCAGAAATAAATTTAGCACTAACAGTATCTACGTTTCCTCAAGAAATAACGCTCGAAAATAGCAAGTCAAGATGAACTAAAATTTTACACTTATTGCAGATTTCCATTATTCTCCAATAGCATCTACTCAGTATGTCTAATGGCGGCCATATTACATCTGTGACTTGGGCCTTCTAGTTGAAATCAATGACAGTGAACAGATAAAGAAAATTTAAATATGAGAACTAATGGAAAGCAACGGACCAGTTAACCTCTGTACCTGACCCATCAGTGGCCAAGCGGTTCCGTTCTCTAAACACTGGTAGTTCGGTCTTCGGTTTGCGCCTCGCCAGGACGGGCTGGCCACGTGGAGTTTTCCGGGTTTTCTCCATGCCTGTAACGCCTGAAAAGGGACCAGTTACTCTTAAAAAGACCTCCCAAAAGGCATCCCCTTGGCAGATTGCCCATGTGTTGCGTTGCCGTAATTTAACAAAACAAACAAACAAACCTCAACCCCGCTCTCCCTTATATAGTATATACACGGCTAACAGGACTTAGTACATAAAATTTTTGATATTTATGAAATTTTTCTTGTTACTTGCCGAAGAAACATTTTTAAACATTAAAAGAGATTTCAGAAAATGAAATTATTTCAATTATCGTTTTTAAATGAATCATCAAAAAGAAAATTTGAAACATTTTTATTTGATTTAAAAAAGCATGAATATATATATATATATTATTTTTAAACTTTAGTTTATTATACAAACTGAATATTGATTATTCTTAAATATTACCATATTTCAATTTACTCCTTTTAGAGGGAAATTTATTTTTGTGTAAGAAATTTCCCTTTCGTTATTCACTGTATAAAATTTTATTCCCAACAGGGAATAACGGTTTAAACAAACTTAAACTGTAAGGAAAGAAATTTTAAATAGTTAAAATCTTACACACACTTGCATAAAAGAAGAAGTAAAAACCCTTTTTATTCTTTAAAAAATTTCCAGTTTTGTAAATTTCCTTTTCTTCCCTAAATAATAAATGGACCTTTCCTTATTAAAGTAATTTCCACTCAACAAAATGGAAAGCAGTTTTTAGATAAAAATTTATCTAAAAACTTTATTTAAATTTATTTTTATATAAATTTATCTAAATATATTTCTTTGAAAATTTCCCTAAATTTTTCCCTTATTAACGAAATATCCCTACAAAAATGACGTTAATACGAAAATGAAATAAATATTTTAGTTAAATGTCGTTTAAATAAACGTATTAACAATGCTGTAAGTGAAAAGTACTGTACATTTCGTTCTTTAGGGAAAAATCGTTTAATTTCTTTAAAAGGGTGAATTTAAAGAATTTCCCAAAATACCGCTACATAATCGGGGAAGCATTTCTA